GCTGAAAAAAGTGATACGTGAAATGAATTATTATGAATACATCTAGATCCTCGTACAAGAAAATGTAAACTTGAAGTTCAAGTGATAATTCATTTCTAAAATATTTCCAGGCACATTGCTGACCCAAAGCTAAATGTCATATTCCAGCTGCTAATGCTCCAAATAGAATAACGTCCATGATGGATAGAGTTTATGGCACGCATGAAGCGTAATAGACAAATCGGTTCCAAAGATAAAACTCCTTGAAGAAGGAGAGGAGCAAATGTTCAAGATGGTCATAATAAGGAGGCAAGTGCTTCATAAGAGCACCATGACATAACAATTTATAAGACCTCATGGAAGAGGCTCAGGTACCTGAAAATAATGAGATCTCGATAAGTTGTGTCTTTATTGTGTGATGATGGAACCAATGTAAAATGATCATCGATGATATTGTTGATATAATGTAGCGCTCAATATTTTTAATATTGACGAGGATCTTGAGCTCAAATCTGTCATGAAATTTGGACAGATAAATGATTGGCCAAATGAAAAATATGCAACGAAAATTGGCTTCATCTGAAAAATATGAAGTTGGACGGATAGTTCCAATAGCTGAAAGTATAAAGGCTATATGGAGATATTGAAATATGATTAGTGTTATATTGCAAAAGGAATCCTTGATATAGATTTGTTTATTCTAACAAATATTTTCAAGGTTTTATTGGTTATACAAATGCAAGGCATAGTTCGTTGTTCAAACAACCTATTTTCATGTGAGGGTAATGCCATATTATTATTCTACAAGGCAGTTAATTGTTGATACTTATTCAAGTCATGCCAAGATAAGCAACTGATAAAGCAAGTGACTCAACACACAGCAGACTTGTGACTTTTCTTTGAAGAGTTGATTCCAATAATATTGAAGACGATGTTGCTTGCATAGATCAATTGAAAGAAAGATATATTGAAGGAGACAAAATAAAGCACATTTCGTCAAAGTTTTTTTTAGAGATGATCTTCAATAGAAAGATGAAATAGATGTTCAAGAAATTCGTTCAAGTGATAATTTGGCGAAATAATTATACAAGCTTGGAAT